AGCTCTGTTGGCATCTGTTTGTGGCTTTACAAGGATAAGTTTGTTTAGGGAGGCTGAAGAGGAGGTGGATGTGGAAGGACAGCCAGGTAAATCTGCAGGTGATGCTTTTATCAGCACAGAACTGGTGGAACAAAGATGTTCTGTCACGGGGTCACAGGCTTTATTTTGCTGGCTTTGGAGCACGGGTGAGGGCTGCAGTCGGGCAAAATCTCAGCCCTAGGATTTAGCTATAGCCTTTGCTGCTCTGCCTTGGGTGCCATCTAGATTAATTAAAAAACTGGTTTTTCCTGCATGACACAGATTGCAGGAGCAGATTCCCTTGGGTTTTCAGTCAGTGTATGTCCAAACAGTGTCTCCAGATTTTTGGGTGATGAGTTCAAAACATTCTGGTGCCTAATTCCAGTGATTCATTTTGTGATTATTCAATATGAAATGCCCTCAGGTGTCAGATTTCCAGAGGGGTTAAATACTCACAACTCAAATGATTCAGTAGCTCTAAAATACTGTTATAAAACCATGGGAAGATCATATTAAACCTAGAGAAATTCAGCAAGACATTTCTGAACTAACTACCCATCATCCCTTCTAATAGAGGATCTTTTAGACCAACTTCAGCCAAGTGTATTACCTAGTTTCACAGGGAACTGAAACATTTGTCACAATATGAAAAAAAATGGGGAGCATTTAGAGTTTAAGTTGATTTTCAGTGTTTCTGTTAAGATTTTCTTTCCCCTGATTGTTAACTTAAGAGCACTGTACAGCAGTGTCCTAATTCACTTAACTCCATTTTCTCGTAGGATAGAAATTAACCCACACATAAGTTAAATATTCCAAAAATAACATCATTACCATGATATCAGGCACTCACTGCTTTATTGGTTTCTGTGTCACCTCTGTGTCAGACCAGAGTTCGATTTCCAATGTCTCCAGTTCTGTACCCTGGTTTGCAGCAGGTTTTGTGCTCGTTTCTCTGCAAGCTGTCCAGCTGTGCCTCTGGACTTTTTGCTGGGTCACCTCCAAGCATTAACTAGAATTTTCCAGCAGTTAAAACCCCATGGAACCAGATGCACACGTTTGCATCTTTCGGGAGGAATCCCCACAGCACAAACATGCTTGCAGTGCTCGTGTGTGTTTGCGATTGTGTACATCCAGAAACAGCAGAAATGAGTTTGACAGAATCACAGAACGGCTTGGGCTGGAAGAGACCTCGGCCATCACCCAGAGCCACCCCTGCCATGGCAGGGACACCTCCCTCTGTCCCAGGTGCTCAGAGCCCATCCAGCCTGGCCCTGGGCACTGCCAGGGATGCAGGGCAGCCACAGCTGCTCTGGCACCTGTGCCAGGGCCTGCCCACCCTGCCAGGGAGGAATTTAATCCCAGTATCCCACCCAAGCCCACTCCCTGTCAGTGTGAAACCATTCCCCCTGCGCTGTCACTCCAGGCCCTTGGGAATTGTCCCTCCCATCCTGTAAGTGCCCTCAGCACGGCAAGGCCACCAAGGTCACCCCGAGCTGTCCCTTGTGCCAGCAGAGCTGCTCCATCCCCTGCGCCCCGAGCCGCCCTGGGCTCCTCCTGTGCTGGGTCGGGCTGGCCCAGCCCTGCAGGGCTCACCGAGGGGGCAGCGGGGCACAGCCCCTCCGTGGTGAACTGGAACGCTAAGGAACAAAACAGTCTGTGAACATTTCACTGCCTCCTCCAGCTGAGACCAAGAGTTCATTTTCAGGAGTTTCCTTAATCCCAGAAATCAAACCTTTCCAGTCTGTTCTAGGTGTTTGAAGGTTTACAGCTCAGATGTCACCACTCAGAAATTGTCTCAGCACGTTGGTGTTTCCCCTCTTCGTTCCAGCCACACATTCTTTGCATGACTGCATTTTTTCACTAATTCTGACTGTTCTGAGGCTTCAGGTGCCTTCAGTCTCCTCATTTTAGCAACTGAAGAATTTTTTTGGACATGATGCCAGAGAACAGTCAAAAAGTGTTTGAATTGCCTGTCATAAAGGCAGTCAGGGCTAACAAAATATGAGATTTTCCTATGGGAAAAGTAAGCATAGCTGATAAAATGCATAGAAGTAATATTTGTATTTAATTTGATTGCTTGTCGTCTCCATATATCATATTTTCCTTTTCTCTTGCTGCTTCACTCCCACCTATTGTCATAATCTGCAAATTACTTTAGTCTGAGATATTTCCCGTGTGTTAACTGCATTTCATTGGCTGCCAATTCAGTTTTCTGTTTCTGCACTTACATTTGTATTTAGGAAACATGACGAAAATTAATATCATAATTATACCATTCAAGCAAATCACATGAATTAAATCTGTGTCTAGCCAGCCAAAAATATCTGTGGTTGTCACTGGAGTGTGCATTTTTTTCCTTCTCCAGCAGCATCATGAGACAACGTTGTGGTTTAAGGCCAGCCAGCAGCTGAGTGCCAGAGTGCCCCATCCCTCTGGGAACTCTATCCCAGATGAAACCTGGGCAGACAGAGGGACAAACTGCTCCCTGTGGCACTCCACGGGCAAGGGCTCCATAAAGAACAACACCCAAAACCTTCTCCTTTTGAAGCACCATCTTTTAACTGTCTCACTAAATATTTATTCTGATTTCCTCAGAGCTCTTGCAGAGCTGTGGCCCTGCTCATCTTGAACGAAGGCACTAAACCCACACACCTCCTTTTGCGTCTGCCCAGCTGCAATCTCCTTTTTCCTGAACGTTCCCGTGTCCCAGCACCACAGGAGGGCATCTCCTGCTCCCCTGGAGGTGTGCACTGCGCTGCAGCTCCCGCAGGGATGTTCCAGAGGCTGCTCTGAGCCCTGCCCGGGGCTCAGTGCAAAGGCAGCCCGGAGACATCACTGGTGAGATCACACAGCACTGACACTGCAGAGGGATTTCAGCCATGGGCCCTGCAGCTCCCCAATGGCCAGGGCACACAGCACTGACACTGCAGAGGGCATTTCAACCATGGGCTCTGCAACTCCCCAGTGGCCAGGGCACACAGCACTGACACTGCAGAGGCATTTCAACCATGGGCCCTGCAACTCCCCAATGCCCAGGGCACACTCACCCACCCTGCAGAGGGCATTTCAGCCATGGGCCCTGCAACTCCCCAATGGAGTGAGCTGACAAGAAAGAAACTAATGGAGCACTGCTGGACTCTCCCCAGAGCAGCCGTTTGCTATCAAACAAACCATGCCTAACCCAACCAAGGCATTAATCACTCCCAGCCTCTAATGTCACTCCCTAACAGCTTGGGCAACTCTTTGAGAAGGCTCCCATCATCTCCTGTCAGAGTGATCTCTAAAGTACAGCCAGGGTGCTTGAGAGATCAGCTGCTGGTCCCACACACCTTTTTAACTGCAGAAACTCAGGACTTGTGCTTCATTAAATTCAATGAGATCATGTAGTCGTTTTATTGCAGGGTATCAGGTAAAATCAATCAGGTTAAATTTGAATTATTGCTTGCCCTGGGATCTGAGCAAATTTCTGTCCAGGCTATTTTCACATTCCCATTGAGTTTGGACTCTGATTTAACTGCTGCAGTACAGACCCCTTTCATTTCAGAGGGGCCTCCTTGGATTTTTTGAAGTCTAAACTCCGAGTTCAGACAAATCATAACAAATCTTTCTTCCTAGGAAGTAAACGACAACTTCATTGAATCTGATGCCACTCTAATTAAGTATTAAAATAATGTCAGTTTATTTGTAGGACAGGTGACTGCAAAACCAGTGTCCATGTGTTGGAGGTTAGGATTTTTCCCTTGTCAGTTGCACAACTGACAAACAAAGTAGAAGTGACAATTTGGTGACTGTTTGCAGTTTAAAAATGGGTCTGCCACTTCTGGAATACTAACTGGAGAAGCATTAAAATTTCTAGATAAGAAAGCTGCTCTGTATCTAAAGAAACCGTCTAGAGGAAGCTGTGACATTTAAACAGCCAGAAATGAAAAGATGGCATTAATGCTTCCATAGAAGCAAGCAGCACCCCTCCAAAGGGAAAATAATCAAACCAGTTTACTTCAGTGTGCTACTTCAGATATTTCAGCTGAATGCTCATGCTGTACACAACTTTTTGTGCCAGTCCAAGACCTTTTGAAGTTATTCACATTCTGCCATTAGCTACAAAGGGAAACAAGATTTGCCTTGCAAAACAATCAGGAGCTGCAGCTATTTACAGGCAAATTAATTCATGGCAGCTTTGGTTGCAACAGCTACAGAATTTGGCAAGATGATTTAATTGTGTTAGTGATGTGTTCTGCTAAGGGCCAAATTCACACACTTCCAATCTAAAGGATAATTAACCCCCAAAATATCAGAATGACAGGATCATAGAATGGTTTGGGGTGGAACAGCTTTAAAAGTTGGTCTGCTGGGAGGAGAGGGAGGTGTTGAGGTTGTTGGGTGCACGGTGGGAGGGGACACCTCCCGCTGTCCCAGGCTGCTGAGCCCCATCCAGCCTCACCTGAAAGCCTTGCAGGGACCCAGGGGCAGCCCCAGCTGCTCTGGCACCTGTGCCAGGGCCTGCCCCACTCACAGGGAGGAATTCCTTCCCACTATCCCATCCAAACCCAGTCCCTGTCAGTGTAAGCCATTCCCCTGTGCCGTCACCCCAGGCCCTTGTGAACAATCCCTCTCCCCCTTCCTTGTGGCTCTCTTTGGGCCCTGCAAGGCCACCAGGGTCACCCCAAAGCCTTCCCTTCTCCAGGGGAGCAGCCCAGCTGTGCCAGCCCCTGGTGCCAGCAGAGCTGCTCCATCCCTCTGCTCGCCTGGAGCTGCCCTGGGCTCTGCAGCAGCTCCAGCTCCTCCTGGGCTGGCCCAGCCCTGCAGGGGCTCAGAGAGGGGCAGAAGCCCCTGCCCTGCTGCTCTGGGCTTGGATGAGCCCAGGACACAGAGAGGCTGTAACATGCCACACACAAAAGATTCCTCTGAGGAGAATGGGGGTGGGACATGTGTGGTACATCCAGCTTACAAATTTACCTATGCACACACATTGAGACAGTGAATTTTATAAAGATATTTATTGAGCAAGAATGATTTTCATGCTCATTTACAATGAAATAATTAGTTTTAACAAATAATCATGCCATTGCTTAATTTGAACACTAAACAGAATATTTACATTCAAGTTTACATCTTAGTTCAAGTTCCATGTACAATGTTGTCAGAATTAAGCAAGAATGCATCTTCAAATCAAAGTTTTTTTTGGTGTGTTTTTGTTTTGTTTTTGTTTTTTTTTTTCAATAGAGTATCATCGCCTTTCAAACTTCTACTGGAAATGACAAATTTCCTGTCTTTGCAGTGCCCTTATTTCCCAGCTACAGCACTGGAAAAGAACAAAAAAACCCCAAACACAAAAGGAACCTGCAGGAACCAGTGTCACACACATAAATCAATCTCCAATTAGCCAGACATTCAAACAGGAAGGAGGCTGCAGAATAAGCTCTGCACAACTGATTTTTGGGGGACTGTTTATGTCATCCTTGAAACAGATCCTGACCTCAGGACAATTCTTTCCCGAAGTCTTAAATAACAGAAGACCTGCTTTGTCAACACTGAAGTGAACATCTTCTACTAACACCAGACACACCCTGGAACTTCTGTTGTGTTCTGGGGTTTTTCTGTCACACCACAGGGATGCCCTGGGTCACAGCACTGTGGTCTGGCAGCTTTTTAAAAACAATTAAAAAAACGAACAACACCCCCCAGCTCCCAAAGAGAAAAACAACAACAAAAATGAGAAAAAATACTTTCAATGAGCAGAAATTCAAACTGAAACTTTTTGGTACTGCTTTTTCCTCTTCACACTCTATGATGTAAAGGAATTTCAGAGTCCAGCCCATGTTTCCTTGGCCTGCACACAAATCTCTCCCTTCTTCATCAAAGGTTCCCAAGACAGACTTCCCAGGCACCTCCCTCCCACCCTGAGCTGAGCCAGGCAACATTCAAACTCAGAAATGGCTCTGAGTGACAACTGACCAGGGTCCCACTGAACAGCTCAAAAATGGAACAGAATTTTTCCTTTCCTTCCACAGTTCCATGAAATGCCTGCTATTCTAATCCACGTTCTCCTGTGAGTGCTTCACCTGGTTCCACAGGGCAACAGAAGAACCAGAGCACACCTGCCAGCTCACTGCTCTGACTTACTTAAGTTACATGACAACAAAAGAAGAGTGATTGTCCTGGATTTTGGCTGTGAATGTCATGGAGAGACGCTGACTTTGAAGATGCAAACCTAAACATTGCCACGTTTGAAATAACCTTTCCACTGAGCAGCCTCTGCCCTGCTGTGCCTTCACGTGGTGACGTCCCCGGCGGAGCCCGCGGGCTGCGCGGCCGGAGCCGGCAGCGCCTCCAGCTCGGACTCCCGGACAAAGACCACGGCATCCCCACTGACATTGATCAGACACTGCGCCTGCCAAGAGACAGCCCAGTCACAAACAGCCACACACTGCGTCTGCTTGCAGCTGCTAAAGGCAATACACACAACAATCAACAGGGACAGGGAGAAGGACGAATTATTACAATTTATTGGTGAGGAAACCTGCGCTGCGTTTTCTTTTCTATGAGCTCACTTGTGTGCTACCAAACATGCAGATGGACTCCTGGGAGGGGAGACCACCACAGTGACATCTGCATATCCTGCTTTCCTTACTGTTTTGAACATATTTGATTTACTAATATTCTGTTATTGTCTTCACAAATCACGGTTTGTTCCTTTGTGTACAAAATGGAGCAGTTTACATCAGCAACTCCAGGTACTTTCACATGGAGTTAGGATGGAGATCCTACACTGCAACATCAGAAATACCAAGCAAGTCCTGCAATTGACTTATTCTAGCAAGCTTGGCTCTTTTATCCATCTGGGTATTTATGAAGCGTCCTCATAATTTTGTGTTAGTACAAGAACACTCTTGGATTCTTCAAACATTATCCAAGATATCAAGAAATGTTGTGCAGCTACGGCTTTACAGCACTGCTGGTTTTTTAAGACAAAATGTGTACTTGTATCATACTAACCACAACAGCCCTTGTCATTTCCCATCCCAATGTACCTGATTTTTGTTTGGGTTCTCCATGAAAACACACTGCTTCATGATGTATGACACAACTGCATTCCCTCCCAGAGCTGCAACATGGGCTCTCACCATGGCAAACACTTCAGCAATAAAAGCGTGCAGGAAACCACTGACACCACCCTCCTAGAATGGAAAAATACACATTACATGTGATATTGGGTCTAGCTACAAGATGCTGAGTACTTCTCTTACATATTTATCAGCTGAAAAAGTCAGTGAATCCTAAATGGTGTGGAGAACTTAAAAGCCATTTGCTGAAGGGTCACAGCTACAAATCAGATGCAGAGAGACCATTCACAGGGGCCTGGAGTGACAGGACAGGATGGAATAGCCTAAACTGACAGGTAAAGATGGGATATTGGGAATGAGGAATTGTTCCCTGGGATGGTGAGGCCCTGGCACAGGTGCCCAGAGCAGCTGTGGCTGCCCCTGGATCCCTGGCAGTGCCCCAGGCCAGGCTGGACACTGGGGCTGGAGCACCTGGGACAGTGGGAGGTGTCCCTGCCATGGCAGGGGGGTGGAACAAGAGGGTTTTAAGGTCCCTTCCAATCCAAACCATTCCATGGTTTATGAAATTCTTGGAAATTCCCAGTAAGGAGTGACCATTACCTTTGATCACTGCAACTTCATGTAGGTTAATGACTGTCATTGGTTCTCAACACTCACTCAAGAAAGGATCCCTCAAAATAAGAGGTAAGCAAGGATAGAGCAGAGACCTGAGCTATCCAAGCTGTTCATTTTTTTATTTTCCTACTTGAAGTGCAAAGGAACTTCTAGCCATCTCATTTCATTAATTTTTTTGACTTGATGATGCTTGTTAGGCATTTTTACTTCTTTGGTGCAAAACTGAAGAATTTAAATTGATGTCAAAGGAGAAGGAAAACAACAAATATGGATTTTCCTAGAAAATCCTTAAGAAAGAATATGAGCAATTACATTGTGGGGGAAAAAATCTATTGCACACAAACCAGGCAACTAACCAAAGAAATAAAAATCCATGAAAATGCTGAGAAAAGAAACTGATCCAAACAGAGCTCACAGTTGGTTCAAAATACATACAAAATTCCAAACTTCCAAGACCACCAGACTTCCCACATGACTCTGTGTACGTGTGCCACTGCAGAAAATGGAAGAGGCAGGCAGAAGAAGAGATTGAACTAAGCTGAATTTCTAAGGGCTGTGCTCATTCCTGGAAGAATGTGCCCTGAACAGACTCATAAAGGCATAAAAAACCACATCCTGGATGAAAATTTACAAACAAGAAGGACAGGTATAATTTTATCAAACCCAGCATAAAGCTGGAATCAAGTCAGCTGCAGCAAGAAATCAAAATGCAATACAAGTTCATAATTCTCAAGGAATTTTGATATTGTCCAAGTTTTTTAAAGGTAGAGCAACTGATGGGGAAAAAATATGAATTATAAACCTAATGCAACACTGGATGGCAAGAGGTAACAAAATGATTGTACACACCCACCTGTAAACAGCAGAGCCTAAGAGCAATGGATGAATCTGACTTGAAATTATCATTAATGTTTCATTCTATCATTAATGTTTTATTCTGGTATATACTTCAGCACCACCACAAGCAAAACATAAAGCAATACAGAGAAAAATGCTGGTCATTACTTTCTTGCAGGACCTGAACCACACTGCTGGAGTTGGATATAATGACTGCTCTGTTCTGACTCCATTGTAACTCAAGGCAATCCTGTGGTAAGAGTAGTTTGTGCCTTAGCCTGTGTAGCTGAAATAATTTAAATTAGCTCCCCTAGGTGCTGGAAAGAGCACAGTGACAGCACCCCAGGACTGTGCAACATTCCAGCTCCAGGAAGGAGCTGAATCACACACCTGAGTGACCTATTCTTGCTGGGATCTGCTATCACAAAGCTCACCAGGCACTGAATTTGTACCTACAGAATCTGCACTTAGTGCAGGAATGTCCTGTGACCATTTCCCTGCTCTGACATCCTTCTGAAAACACTGTCCTTTTCACACAGGGATTTCTCAAGTTAAAAGGGGAAGTTAGAAGCAACTTGCAAGATCTAAAGAAAATGTTTGTCTGATCCAAGTTTCTCTAGAGTTCACAGCCCATTTTCAGGAAGACTGATCATTTTTATTAACATCTGCTCTGTAATTTCAGCAATGTGTAATTAGGAAAAACCAGCAAACACTTCAGCACTGACAAAGCAGGCAAGAGGTACACTCTCCTTCTGTGGCCAAAAGCAAAGATACAGCTACTTCCCAGAAGGACAGGAAAACTATAAGGAACACTGCTTGCTTTGGACATGCTCAGAGGATTATGTGTTCTCCCAGCCCAGATGGAGACCAGGGTTTGAACATCACCTCTAAGCTGGCTGTGTGGTCACGGACTCGTGGTGTAATTTTTGATGCTTAGCACACAAAGTTTAGTTACAGAGAATGCACAGAATGTAATGTTAAAATTAAAAATCAGCATAACATTTTCTATGATATGGGCAATGTTATTTTAACCAAAGAATTAACCAAATACACTGTGAAAGTTCCTCACTGAGCTTGCTAAATGAGGGAAGAATAGACGATTTATTTTTTTCTTTAGCATTTAATTTGAGTTCAAATGATCCCAACTTCTACCACTATTGGTCAAAGACACATTTTTTCCAACTGTATCTGTTTAAGAACTCACTGGTTTAGTGTTCTACCCAATTCACCAGCCATGGCAATTGTTAACTAACCCCGTGCTAACAGTGCCAAACACAAAACAGCTTCACGTGCTCCTGACAAGAACAGCACAAAGGAACTTGCTCTGCACTCAGCACCTTCCCCCAAGTGACAAATTCTATTCCCTGGCTGTGCCACACCTCAACTCAAACCTCTGATTCTTACAATTAACAACAATTGCTCCCTGACACAAAAGGAACCCCTGCCACGCAGCTCACCTCACGCAAAGAAGTGGTTTCTCGTATAAAAAACATGTTGATTATCCCGAGGTATTTGGTTATCTTGGCCCCAGGGAGAAAGGAAAGAGGTGTCATCTTAACAACTGAGACAGTGGAATTGGTGCACGACGGGACAGAACGGTGCCGCAAGTATCCCTCAGCCAGTGGACTCGCTTTTTCAAGGGAAGTAGCTGAAAAATGGGAAAAACCAGGAGAAAATAACTATCAACATCCATCCTTGTTCCTCAGAACACAAAAACTCTTCTTTATGGTTTTCCAAATAGCTTGGTGACAACATTCAGCTGCCTGTGATGCTCAGCCATATACGTGAGAAAGGAAATCACCATGCAAAGCATGCAAGAGAGACAAGAAGCTGAAATGGCATTTATTGAAAGAGTGGCATTCCTGCGAAAGGAAAACATTGAGGCGAGCAGCTGCACGTACAACCATCAGTTATAATGTGAAGGTAAAGGAAAAAGTGCCAACATTTTCAAACATGTATTCTGCTGGAAGAACAAATTACAGAAGTGTGAAAGTTGTTGTGTTTCCCCAGTGCAGCATTTTCCATTAAAACAGGTATTAATCTCTGCTAATTTAAGCAAGATAGTCAGACCTGTGGCCAAAGAACTACTGAAAACCAACTCACCACTTGCTAATTTAGTGACCATTGCCTTGACTGTCCCCTTGGTGATTGCTTCCTGTTTCTCACCCCCAATTTTCCAAGATCATACATACACCTACATCCATGCAGTGGATGTTATACAATTAGTAGGCGTACACATGTACGGAGAACTAATTACAGCAAGACTTTATTTTGCTTTTTATGCTACGGTTCATCAACCCTACGTGAGGTTACAGAACAATGCCAGCAGTTTTCACCCTGGGGAATTCATTCCACATGTGATCTGCAGTGCTACTGCTGGGCAGGGCACTCCACTAAGTCACCACTGGGAAATCAGAGATATGTCTCAGATTATCAGAACGTGGTAGAAACAGCCGCCTACTTGTCTTAATTGATCCGCGCCTTATGGTCTGAGCTTTCAGTTTAATGAGCTCTATCCAGCTGTTGCATCTGTCTGCAAAGGAACTGTAATCAACTGACGTTGCTGGAAACACAGACAGAAAAACAAAAGAAAAAAAACACAAAAAAAATGTATGGATGATGTCTCTTGCTCATCTCAGTGCTCCTTTTTGAGGAAGCAGTGATTCCTGTCTGAGAGAGAACAACCATCCGCCTGCAGGTCTGTCTAAAAGGAGAAGTTACAGGGCAGGTTTGGACTTGTCCAAACCAAAGTACCGATTTCTGGTGATGTCCCAGCTCTGAACCAACTGCCTGAGTGGGACTTCAGCACTGAAAAAACATGCAAATACAGTCATTAAGGACTTATACTAGATTAGGTTTTTTTTATACTCTCAATTTAGGCTGTAAGTTATGGCTTTTTAAACTTTATTTAAGCCTTTTTTAACTTTCATTTTCATTGCTTTATTTTCCTTACAAAGAGCTGCTGATCAGGATTTAAATTTCCCAAATGTCTTTATCAATAACAACTAACCTACAGAGTGAGAAAAAACCCAACCCTTTGGTGATGAGGATCAGAGTCACAAACTGAAACAACACCTCTGTTTTAAACACAAATCAATCTTCCTTTCAGAACAGTCCTCCTTGCCCCGACACCCTCCCTCCAACACCCCTCCCACTATCATTACCATAAGAAGTAAGAGTTGTTTCTGCTATGACTTTTGGTATTAGTTGCAGGGGTGTTTGCATATCTTTAAAAAAAAGGGGGGGTTGCAAACACCGTTTCTTCATTGTCCTGAAGAAACGGGAGGAACACATGCTAACTTCAAATTAACACAGGCAAAACAGCTCTCTTCCCAGGGACTCATTTTCTGCCAGATAAAGTTATATCAACGTACCTGACAGAGAGGCTGTTATTATTAACAAATTTAACTTTAATAATGAAAAATCACATCAAAATATTAGGATCTCATTAAGCCACACCAGAGCATGCACCCTCAGTTAAGTAGTAAACACTTCCTGCAGTAAGACACATCCAAAAGGAGTATACCAATATCCCAAGAACGCTCATTCTGTTCTGGCAGATGGCTAAATTCAGGAAACTCACCTCTCTGAGCAGCAGGAATACCTGTGTGGGAGCTTGCACCCTCCAGGACTTCTAACAAAACAAAATTAATTGCATTCAGATCATCTATTAAGCAGAGTTACAGGACAACAGCTTCCAAGAAAGATGGGAGGGACTATTTCCAAGGGCCTGGAGTGACAGGACAGGGGGAATGGCTTCACACTGACAGAGTGGGTTTGGATGGGATATTGGGAAGGAATTCCTCCCTGTGGAATGGGGCAGGCCCTGGCACAGGTGCCAGAGCAGCTGGGGCTGCCCCTGGATCCCTGGAAATACCCAGTGCCAGGCTGGACACTGGGGCTGGAGCACCTGGGACAGTGGCAGTGTCCCTGCCAGGGCAGGGGGTAGCAATGAGATTGTCTTTAACAACTGGTCCCTCCCAACCCAAACTACTCCACGATTCTGTGACCCTTATAAAAGATTTTAGAGTCAATGAAAAAAACCACCCTCTATAGAGTATACTGTGTACTCTGATAACAGAGTTAGTATAAATAATTCACTTTACTAAATCTACCTTGCAATTTTAATATGTTTATTCATCAAAAGTCACTACTGTATAAGACTGTAAACCACGACTTTTAAAACAACAATGCAACAGAGAAGTAGAAATATATTAAATAATCTGTTAAGTAAATGTAACTACAATGAGGCTGTGAAGAAATGACAGATGGAACAACCTTCAGGCTGAAGTGCTCTGCCTGCAGCACGGTGTGGGATGTGGAGAACAGCAGGAAAAGGGGTATGTGGGAACAGGCTGCCCTCCACTGGTCAGTGCCCAGCACACGCCGAGCACAGCCCAGCAGTGGCCACACACACCAGCAGAAATTTGTGGATAGCTTCTCTTTTTGATAATAAAAAATGTAGCAAATTAAAAGTTAAGCATTAAGAAAAAAAAAATCAAGAAGAATCTTTTTGCCGAAATTAATCTGGCCTCTAAAAATACAAGTAAGTGTGGTAGGCACCCTTCTTTACACTAAAGAAGTAACAGGCAAAAAAGGGAGCTCAAACACTTACAGTAACTCCCAGATATTTCATTTCACCTCAGTAACCATTTTGGTAGATAATCCAACAAGAGAGAAGGAATTAAAGACAGCTGATTTCAATGAATTGAATTTTTAATGCAGTCGTAGAAGAACTGTGACAACCATTCTTGAAATGCAGCTGTATCTCAGGTAAAATAAAGCAGCTGTTTAACACTACAGTGTGCTGCACTGTACAGATTATTTACTACACAAGTTTAGGATCCTTCACTTAAAGGAAATTTGCATGCAACCAGTATCTGGTAGATAAAGTATTTCCCATCATGAAAACAGTGAGATTAATTCTGTGAGGCTGAGGAAACATGGAGGTACTTTATATGGGCCATTTACAGTATGGGACAAGCCTAATTATTAGGTAACTGATAGTTTCATCAGATGACACCCAACACCCAGTGGTCTGCAGCATCTTCAATATCCTAAATGCAAAGGTGGGAAATAGAGACAGAATGATCAGCCAAGCCACCTTCTGTGACTCTCAGAAAACTTCACAAAAGGAGTAAATATACCCATTATGCTTAGGCAGCAAAGCACATTTAAAGCCTGTGAAAGTACAGACATTTTAAAGCCTCTACAACTATGAAAGAGCAGAACTCAAAGTCCATAAAAAACAAGTTTAATATTCTCCTTCTTAACTGACCTTTAGCTGGAGAGAATGGTTGAGAAGAAAGGGGATCAGAGCAAAGTTCCAAGGGAAATTGTAGCTGTTCTTCATTGTCTGTAGATGCTTCAACAAAGAAAACATGGCCAAGTGATAATTAACCCCCAAAACAAGATTTGCCAGTAATTACAAGCAGAGTCAATTTGGTCAGGTCTGACTTGAAGAGGTATTTTCAGCATGTGCAGAAAGTGATGCAGTTCTGCAGAAACAGGTGTGTGAGAACAAATCCAGCTGCAACATCCAACAGAGCTTGTGCTCCATTGAAGGGGATTTGAACTTTTTAGGAGAAAAATGAAGTCCATTCATGCATTTTTATTTTGATTCTGCAGTTGGATCTACATCAGCTATTATAATAAAAATTAGCACTTATTTCACATGAAAGGAAACACTTCACTGTACTGAAGAAGTCAGCTATAATTCATGTTTTAGAAACACATGGCTCTGTTTTACTAATTCCAGTCTGGAGAATTGAGTATCCTGACTGGGTATCCAGAGCTCTGTCTGAATTCCCATTTCAGACTGCACACTTGCATTTCTAGCATAAGATGGCACTTCATTAGCAAGGTGACACATGCAGATCACAGCAGTGTCTTCCATCCCCTCCACCTGCTTCACTGAGCTCCAAAGCTATTACTGACCTGCTTAAGGATTTTCAGAAGGTAGGAGTTTTTTTAAAAGTAATACAAATACTTCATTTTCCACCTTCTTTAAGTATAGACAAAATTTCTACTTGCAAGAACAAGTATTCCCTGATGATTTACACATGTTCCAAAAGACAACAAAAATATCATCTGTTACACCAACCTTTCAATCAAAGTAGTATCATAGATAGAATAAGAAAGTATTATAAATTTGTTGATTATGTAAAATAAATGCATAATACTTGATAAGTATTGTAAGTAAGTCATCCTGCTGGAGGTCAAGTACATGAGAACTCTAAAAAACCTCTATGTGTTGAAAGACACTCCCTAAAAAATATGTATATTTGAACTTGATGATACTTGTGGATCCTTGCAGGTCCCTTTCAGCTCAGAATATTCTGTGGTCTGTGATGTGTACAGGTAACAGAAATTAAAATCCAGACTCATTAGGCACTGGGGATAAAAAAGGAAAGATGCCTCACAATATTTACCTCTTTGCTGTGATTTTTCTGTAGGTGCTTTGCTGGCTTGTAGTGCTTGGTTTTTGTCATATGTAATGGCAACAGCTGTGACTGCAATCTGCAAATCAGAGATATTTGGCATATTAGGTAAGTTCATCTCTTGTGCAATCTGAAAAATAATTTTGCAAACAAGCAGTTCTTTGCATAGAAACATAATAGGGAAAAAAGCCATGCAGGAATTCACCAGGCACAGCAGTAAATGAAATGCCAGCCCAGCTCACCCTGAGCAGCAAGCATTACTAGGGCTGTGCCTGTGGCTGAAGCTGAAGGCAGCAATTCCCTCACCTGAACCAGCTCATCCTCTGGCAGAGCCACTGTGAAGTTCACATGGCAAAGGCAGCAGGGAACCATGGACCGCAGCTTAAAATACAAACTCTGTGGAGGACAGGATTTCATTCTGTGTTACTCAGGAAAAAAAAGGGTGGTTTATTTCAGAGAAATTGGGGACCAAAACTCTTTTCATAGAAGTCATCTAATGATGTTAATTTTTTCTTGAAGAAGAATTACGTGTGTGCAAAGTCAGGACAGAATGCAATTTACTGTGGAGCTGTCTTTCTCCTTCTAGAGAATCCTGCTAGTCTAAGGACTCCTTCAGGCTCCACAGGCTCTGGAATTCCCTGATATACTAAAACAGGCTGAACCTATCTGAAACAGAAACTCACGAGCTAATTACAGACACTTTGCAGCTATTTCCAAAATTATGAGGCACGTGTTATTTTCACTATAGCTGAGTTTTACTTGGCTCCCATTTGAACACTTAAAAAAGTATTTGAAATAAGATTCTTACCTTCAACAGATTCTCACAGAGATCATTAAAGTTCTTATTGAGTGTTTGATTGGTTGGGTTAATGTTGCTTAATCTGGACACTCTAACTGCTGTGAACATCTGAATTAGAAACAAACATGGGGATTTTTTGCCAACATATGCAAATATATTTCATCCACTGTCTTAAACCCAAACTCATAAAGAAGGAAAATAATGCAAAATATGTTAACATATATGTTCAATAAGTAACAAAAGTTAGCTAAGCAACACAGTCAATAATCTGTTCCCTTTAAGAGGCTTCAAACCTGTCCAAACCTTTCAAAAAGCTAAAGTTCAGATTTACTGTAATTACTTTCATATTTCTGTGTTATGCTGTTACATGACAGCATTAAAAAAAAAACAACAAAAGCCCAGGTTCTTCTACCTTATTGTTCTTACCAAAAGACTACTTTTATTTCTGTCACAAGGGTTTCCTTTGAATTTAGCTTTCAAAATATATATTTAAATTACTACAGCATATTTCAACACCATTTAGCAAAAAGTTTCAATTTTGAATAACCTTACTTGAATTTCTGGTGTCCAGTTATTTATACCAGGCATAATTTCTGTGTTGCAACTGTAGAAACCTGTGAAAAAAATATTTGTGAAAAAAAATCTATTTTATACATTGCAGTATAAAAATACTTGTAAAGGAAACATATGTGACAAGGCTTTGCAAGTATTTTCCCTCATGTGGTTTTGAATATTGAATAATACACCAGAAATGAGATCAACATTCAAAAAACAAATACAGAATCTCGTAGGAGGGGCCAACACCCCAAATCCACAACTGCTCCACCTATTTCTCTTAGATAAACTATGCACAAATGAGGAAATTTTTTAAAAAGGTGTGATATAAAACGCTACAAAGCCAACCTTTAATAGAGAGCACAGAAAAGGCTCTAAGGGAACTACCATAGTGACTGATTGCAAATGGAAAACAGAATTATAGTGACTAAACAGCAGAGTAAAATAAGCTACTAACAGGAAGTCAGCGATTCTGAAATCCTGAAGATAGAGTTAAATAAGCAGAAAAGAGGCCAATATGGTAGGACCTATATAAAAGCACAAAATGAGCCAGAAAAGAAATAGTGTAGCAGCTTGCAGAGGGTATAAATATTAATAGGCTGTCTTTCAGAACATCAAAAGCAAAAATTCTGTTGAAGAATCAAAGATTTAGAAAGGAGATAATAACATGAGAGCATTGTGTGTGTGTGTGTGTGCCACTGCTCTCCTCAGTGTGTGTGTGTGTGTGTCACTGCTCTCCTCATTCATAACTTACATGCAGAAGAGGACAAAACAAGATGATGGCTGATGGCCTTAATTTAGGGCAATAAAATCAACTGCAGCAGAACTCGATAATCAGTGAGGAATAAAAGACTTGGTGATAGTAACAGATAACTACAAGGACAGTTCTGAGCTTGACACGACTAGATTAACACTGGTATCAGTTATTAGGAAGGAAACAAAGACATGGAAATTCACAATGACAAGAGGAAGGACAAGGAAAAATCAAATGTCCAGAGCAATTTCTATATAATGGACACCTATATTTGCCTCTTATCCAGATCCAGCAGTTCTGTTAGGGAAGGTATGACACAGCTTTACAACAATAAATAGCATAAAGACAAGTGATACCAGGCAGTAATTAGTTCTCTATTCTACTTTCGTTACCCTGAAACCTACAAATCCATAATTCAGTCTAAAATTCTTCAGAAACAGTAATACTGTCTTAGAACTTTTAAAATAATTTTTAATAAAACTTGTCATATTTTGTCATTTTGCAGCCTCCAGCATAAATTAGGGAAGTATGGTTGTAACTATACCAGAGGGTGGTGGAACATCTGTCAGTAAGGAGTGCACATCTTCCATTGCATCTGTGTCATCAATCTGCAAAAGGGGAACAATTGAGAAAATCATGTTGCTGTGCCAGCAAGAAGTTTCCAAAAGAAATCAAATAACCTGCATTCCATTCAACCTTTAACACTCTTCTTTGAGATCAGACCGAGAGCCCTGCTTCCTGCTGTAAATACTTCTGCTGTGTCTTTACATTCATCCTGTCCTACTGACCTGCAGGAGACCCACACTCACCTCTATCTCCCAACACTCTTATCAAGTGTTTTAGGAATGGTTTATAATTTAACTCCAGTATTGAAGGGTTTTCTGTCAAGTAATGTGTCTTCTTCTCCCTCTCCATGTAAAAGGGGTTGTCTTTCTTTTCCTTCAAAAAACAACCCAAAAACTAAACAAAACCAACGCAGATAGCTTTACCTCTCATAACTGCCTTCTCAGCCTCTTTCAGCACATCCTCATCACAATGCAATTTTTACTACTTTTTCCTATATAGCTCCAGGGAACAATGATTTTACTCTTGAAAGTTTTGTCAGGAGTTTAACTAAATTTTCTGGAACATTGTTTCTGATATCCAGTTAATCATAAACCAAACTTCTCAAATAAGACAGTAGTAAATGACTCCACAGATAAAAAGTATTTTTTCTATAAATGCCTTACAAAAATCCTCAATTTTTTACAAAGATATTCAATCCTTATTGCAAAAGCACCAACCAATCTAAATTTATTATCCCAAACTGTCCCAACCTGTTATTTTTTCACTCTCCTTCCATACTTCTGTTTTCAAACAAACCCCTGTTATAGTGCTCCCTCATTCTTCCCATGTACAACCTTTCTTCCAGATTATTTTCTATGAAGATGGTGATTTGAAGATGAACAAAGCCTCAGATGTGCCTTAGGCTGCAATTACAGGCTGCATTTTGAAGTGGTTTTTAGTCAGTGATAGGTGTTTGTACTGTCTGTATCTACAGGGTGATCAAAACCCCAGCCTTCAACACAGACAATGTTCAATCATGTCTTTGAATTTTAGTGAACAGAGAGTAACACACATCTATGCCCTTTATTGATCTGCAGGTGTTGCTCTTTCAGGCTGCAGCTGTAGAAAGAACTGGAAGGTATTGTCACAAGTTGTGAATTCTTAAACTGTGAGAAGCAATAGCTGAAATTCAGGAAATCTTTTATGTGCTCTCTTGGCACATGCAGTTTTTCAAATGCTTTGAATACAATCCATTCTGGAAACCAATAATTGTGAATGTTCATCTACAATGGTAAGAGCTTTGAAACAGGAAGAAAATACAATCTTTTTATTTGCTAAATATAAAGTGTGGCAACACAGAACCTCAGTGTTTATAAAAACAGATCTTGAGTTTTTGGTTAGTCTGATCTGCTGCTTGAAGCAAGCAGAAGGACATTTTTTAACAGCTCTTAATTGTTAATCTAGAGACTGCTACATATTCATGAAAAGCAGGGCAATCTTTTTTCAGATATTCTGTAGACAGAGCTGTGCTCTAAGCAAACAGAGTAAGGACAAGAGACAAAGCAAAATCTAATGCTTCACTTTTTCTATTGATACAAAAGGGCAAAAATCATACACAATTTAAGAACTGTTCTTGGAGATAGCCAAGAAAACTTTAATACAGATTTCAGGGCAAGGAAAGTATGAACATGAGTAGTGAAAATGTTTATCACCTCCAAGACAAAAGCATCCTTCTTCCCATGTGAAAGGTCAAGCTCTGTAACTTCATCAGAGCTTTCTGACTGAGATCTCAGCAGCCTGGAACGCTGTCTTGGCTCTGGAATGGGAGACCCAATAATTTCTTCAGGTAACTCCTAAAAAGAATCCAAGAATTAAGAGATGTTCTGCCCAGGTTAAAAAACATTCAACTCTACACAAGTTATTAACAATTCTAAGAATCAGCTCATTCTGAAAATCATTCTACTGAGAAATGTATCTAAATAATACCACAGTGATTTGGCTATGTGGCAAAGGGATCTGAAAATTCCAGCAGCTTCCAAAATCCAGTGAAAGAAGTCTGTATCTCTCTTAGTAAATAAACTTACGTTCTGAATGACTCAGTAAGAAAAAAATGGATATACAGTGCATATATTTGAATCAGAATGCTTCATTTTTTAAGAATAAAAGATTTACTTACTGGAGGATTAATCTCATAGAGTTCCTTGTTCTTTGCTATCGTATCATTTATTTTCTTTTGCATATGGGATATGTGCTGCTCATAGGTGCCATCATTTGGAGTCTTCCCAGCAATCTGAATGCCTCCAGGTGTTGGCAAAGCTGCTAAATACACACCTGTAGCAGACTTTTTAGAAGTCACAAAGAAAAAGACAAGTATGAATTCCTAATATTTTCATATAAAGCTTTCCATAAAGCTACTGCTAAAACAGCATTGTAACATGCAAATTACAGCAGCATCTCTTGCAAATAAGCAAATGGATCTCTCTCTTCCGTTCACTTATGTAAAAACTTCACTATTCTTTTAGAAAACTCCCTCTTTTCCATTTTTCATGGTGGAACTCTAAAACTTGCCTAGAAATTCTAAAAACTAAAGCCCCTGCCCCAGTATGTTTTTCATAAACAAATCGTGTTTTTGAGTTTTTGAAGATCTAAAATTTGGCCAAACCATTTACAGCATCAGTGAGGTTGTGACAATCCTATTTCTATTTACAGGAAACAGGTCATGAAAGACAAAAGATGCCAGCCAGAATTACCCAAGCATCCCCTGATGCAGGAAGAAGCAGCATATTTCACTATTCTAATCCAGCATGAAAGAATGGGGTTAGAACATATTGTTAATGAACATCTCCTGACTTTGTCAAATCTATAATTTATTTCTTCAGTTCCATCAAAAAAAGGCAACTGAACTTCCCCTTATTGCCAAATAACCAAAATATTTACTGACAGGCTTAATTGACTTTATTCATCACAGAACTGCAGCTCAATTTGAAGGACGGGGATCCCTTTGACAGGACTTTTAAAGAATACCATCATTTTTCTACACTATGTGCCAATTAACTGTTTGAAGTTTCTCTTCCTCTCATTCCCCTTTTTAATCTTGTCTTTTACCATTTTCAAGAGATCTGAATCTTCTTCTGCTGTCCTGATCAGTCTGTCCTGATTTTACAATAATTAAGATGCTGGGTTTTAAAATGATGTTTTAATGTCTGATGACTCTGAACCCCACAAGACTTGCATGTCTTCCTGAAAACACACTGTAAGAAAGCAGAACCACCCCAGGGTTCCAACAGTACTTACTGCCAAGCCCATCAGCATGTTTTCCCCCACAGTGATCTGAATTCTCAGCCCAAAGAGGGCATTCATTCCCCTCAGCTTGAGCTTGTTCATCAGCTGTGTGTGCACTTCGTACTCCATGAAGGGCAGCAGGTTACTGATGGAGGTTGCATTTGCTTCAGCCTGAGCTTTCTTCTTCAGACGGCACAACCTGGCAACACAAGCAGCACAGAGAGCTCCAGTGGACCTGGGGAGGCTCAAAGGGACCACAGGGCATCTGCAGCTCTTTTTCCTCACTGTATAACCTAACACAGCTTCTTTTCATTCTTCTAGATTGCTGCAATAGTACAATAAAATGCCAGTTCTTTACAAGAACTCCTTGAGGCAGTGCCATCTGGAAACTTCTGCTTTCAGCTTTTCTTCTAGTAAGACCCCCAGTGCAAACATCTGTTTCTCTTGCTGCAAGCCCCAAACATTTCAGGCACAAGTAAGAAAATTACTGCTGTAATTTCTAGTGGTAGAACTTTCAAAATTCCTATGAATACTGTTTTTCAAGACACACATTGGAAGGGAGAAAAAAATCCCCAAACCAAACCAAACCCAAGTGCCCTCACAGCTCAAGCATTACCCATCAAATTTTACATCAAATTTTAGCAACAGGAATTCTTTCAAAGGCCTCCCAAACCTTACTAGACTAAGGAAGTATTTTGACAGATACCTGGCTTGAATAAGACATCCCTTCCCAACAACTATGGCCTCTACAGGAAGGTCAATTGTGGTGAAAAGGACATCGGGAACTTTTTGCTTCCTGCAGTTGTAACAGTAAGTGAGGTGAGCAGGAAATGGCATGTTCAATTCATCATATGGGATATGGCAAAATCCACAACCTGGTGGTGAAGCTTCTTCAATCCTAAAAATACATTATGGAGAGAATACTTAAAACATCTGCATCCTGGTAGCCACGCTCAGTAAGCGCACGCGTGTATAAACACCTACAGAGACCTGCTTAAATCACACACCACAACTGAACTCTGCTCCACTACACCAGCGTGACAAGTATTACAACACACCAACCACAAGAAGGAAAGGTTGCACATTACTTGCTGAAATGCTATCAATAAAACTTGAATTGAAACTTCTTATGCAGGGATTGAGAAAAAGGACATTCAGTGACCAGCAGTTCATAAAAACCTGTAACATCACTGAACTGGCTTTAAGCAGTGTAACTTCCAAATATAATCCATGATACAACAGTTGTACAAGGAATTTGCTGTAACAAACACACCAAAAATTCCCTTTTTCTCATTGTGTCCAAAACCCCATAAGAGCAGAATACAAACAACAAATCAATCATCTTTCTGAGGAGCAGCACAATAAGGTATCAGGTAAAATTAATTATTTCCTTATAACACAGTCTCTCCCCCCATGAGGAATACCCAGGAATGACCACTATAAAAATATGAACAGGGAAAGCACAGGCCAATTGCATCACTGCAAATTCACATCAACAATTCTTCTTCAGTGACTTGGAAGAGGTGCTTGAGCAAGTCTGTCAGATTTGGAACACTAGTTATCATAACACTATGACAAACTGCATCACTGCAAATGGATTCTCTTTCACATCAACAATTCTTCTTCAGTGACTTGGAAGAGGTGCTTGAGCAAGTCTGTCAGATTTGGAACACTAGTTATCATAACACTATGACAAACAGATCTTGAGTTAAGCATGAGCTTTGTCTGTTTACCTGTTTTACCTCCCTCTGGCATTTCCAATCCATGCCAAGACTCTTAGTAGCACCAAAACACATATTTTGAAAAAGGTATTATTCTCTTTATATTATGAATATGGTATTTCTTTCTCTCCATCATATAGTGACTACAAAACCAAGTATTTTAGTTCTGGCTACAAATTTTAAAACTCTATCTACACCAGAAGACAATGGTCTTCTGCTGACAAAGTAAAAGAATAATAAATTCTAAATAAACCATGCTGACTGGTTTATTACGGAAAAAGCAATGCAAGTGCTAAAGTGTAATAAATAGCCTTGCTTACACTTATAATTATTCCTTGAAATATTTGATTACTATCCTGAAGAATACATAATAAATTATCAATAAGCATTAATTAATCTTTTTTCCCCAAAAATAACTTTGTGGCAATACTCATTCTTCAAATTTTATTTGCAAGAGCAGAAACAAAGGAAAACTTCATGTTTGGCCTTCAGTTTCATGATTTTGCTCATCAATTTCAACACATACCTATTTTGGAAAAATCAGGCATTGTATTTGTTTCATAATCAAGCTACTTTATCTCCCACACAGAAATAGTATTTAATGGAGCAGATATACACACATTACAGACACAGCCACTTCTGGCTTGTGTAAGTTATCAAACATCTGTCATTTCTTACGGTGTGATACAAAACTGAGAAAAGAGACCTGAAGAGCAGCGAAGGAAAAAACTGAGTTATGATCTGTGTTAGTAGTCAAACGTGTTACCTTATTGAGACTGTTAGAAATAAAAACAGAGTATCTAATGGGTGCAGAGCTCCATTACTCCTGTGGTGGTTGTTGTTAGTGAAAAGCAGTAAAGTGGTTGGTCCCGCATCCTGCACTGTAACACTGTAACCTACCCTAATAGAGAAGAACTATCTTGGCTCTGAGGAAAAAAATCAACCTCTCCCTTCTCTGACCCTATGGAAAAGAAGCCAGGCTGCCATGACAACCTTTGTTCCAAACAGCCTTCCATGGTGCCATCCTGAAGGAACCTAGGGTTCAGTACAGCTGCTGTGCCAGATGCGGACAAAATACAGACCTCTTCACTATAAGAGAAAAGAACAACAACAGAGTGAATTCCTACTACTTAGTGGCTGCTTTTATATCAAATTATCAGAGTAAAAGGCTACTACAAGTCTCAATGAAGTTCAGCATCACCACTAATTCTGTGCACTTGTGCAATTTTCTCCTTTAAAACTCACAAACAATCCTCTTCTGGTATTTAAACCACAACCACTGCGTAAGTACAAGGTGAAGGAGGATTGAACAGAAAGGCTTTTCAGAGCTTTGCTTCATGTTGCAAATAAGACAGCAACAGAGAGGCTAACCAGGTTTAAGTATGGTTTTCAGTTCCATGGCTAACAATGCAAAGAAATACAGCAAACCATCTAAACAACAAAAAAACCAAGTCAATTTTTTACCAAAGTAAAAGGGAAGTGGGAGCCCCAGGATCTTATTAACATTCAATTTTCAAAATGAAGTTACAACTTAACACTGACAAGGGTGCTTCTTGAAGGATAAAAAGTGTCAAAACAGTAAAATTTTACTAGGAAGAATTACAAAAATGGTACATTTTGCATGTAAAGTAACCAGCCATATTTAGGATTTAGCTGAGTTCAAGCTCTCAGGACGACCACAGAGCTTTAATAATTCTCAAGTTGTTAAATAAGAAACAAACCTCTAGTATTCAGTATAAAATACTATATTAAAAAAAAAGTAGAGAAAATATTTCCCATTCATTTTCTAGAATGATACACGTGTCTTACTTTAATTTGTTGTTTCTCTTTCCAAAATAATTTTTCATACACAACCTGTCTGGCAGACCAGTACTTACACACACAGGCTTGTGCTTTAAGCATGGAATAAAGCTGAACTGGCAGTAAGTGCGGGAACTCCAATAAATATTTTATCAATAACCAAACACTACCACATTAAATTCCTTTGGAGAAATGCCAGCATCAAATAACCCAATACCTGACTGCCTGTCTGTGCTCTAAACATTCTTTCCCCATACTTAGGGGAGAAAAACTAACACAAACTACTCATGATTTTTATAAGAAGATTGACAAGCAAAGGAATAAATGCTTCATTTTGGTGTGTTCATCCCTCAGTGATGGAGTAATTGAGGAAAATATGGTAAAGCAAAACTTTTCCAACTTCTCTCCTTAAAGCAAATTTTTAGTCCTTTTACCTTAAAATATTTAGGCAAAATCAACTCAAAAGAAAATAAATTCAGATGTTTGAATTTGCTTGCTACTTCCCAAACACAATTCAAAACAGTGAACCAGAGCAATTTTCTGTTTAATATCAGCAGACACACCTCGCTCCAGGGCAAGCTTTTTTTGGGCCTGAAATGTGAAATTTTCCATTTAAGTTCTGGTCTGCCAGTTGTTATCCAATAATGGAACTTCAATACATATACTTTTAGGAACAGTCGTATGTAGGTAGATTAGGTTTAGAAAACTTCATGGATAAATTAATATTGTTACGACAAAACAAATTGTAGGTTTTAGTTTAAAAGAAAAAATTGTAACATTCATTAGAAAAAACCTAAAACCCAGATCTAATATATAAAAAATACCTAATATATATAAAAATAGCTAACAATGAAATTTCATAACCTCACTTAAACTCTGTAAAGCAGTTATAGAACAGACAGTACCAACAGTCCTACTGGAATAGTTAACTTTTAACACACTGATGATGAAATACGTTCTCTGTGGCATTTTGAAAATCAAATCATCATGATTTACCAAATGCTGGTTGATTCACTGTAGCCCACTACAGCATGACAACCCAATGCCTTGGCATGGGATTTTATTTCTTGTCTGATTTCTGCCCACCAGGCATCCCGCGTCTCCGGTTCATCTGAAAGACAAAGTATAAATCAGTTCACTACTCTGGGCTGTGCCGACACAAAGCTTCATGCAGTTAACCTGAAAAGCTGAGGCTTGCATATGCACGTGCTTTCAATGTGGACACCTTCTTTCCTTCCTATTTATCACACTTCAAGGAAACACTAATGGGACTTGTTCACTAATTATCTTGTTTCTCCCTTATTATTCACTCATTATCTTGTTTCTCCCTCAGAGAGCAGGTTCTCACAAATTACTGCATTCTTCTCCTTGTCCATATAACACTAAAATACTGTAGATACTGTTCCAGTCTCTACCAGGTTTTAGTCCAAACCACACTCTCAGCTTCCAACACAAGAGCAGTGTGTAACCTGCAACAAAGCATCACAGATACTCTGTAATGCTGGAAAACTAACAGTAATGAAACTGTATTTCTAGTAGTAAACTAGTATTTTACTTGGTGTCTTTGAAATAACCTCAGAAAGTTTTCCTACTGGGAGCAGTTCTCTCTGCTAACCAGATTGTGAAAGTGTTTGCCCAAAACCGTATCACTAATCAAACAGACAGCTCTGTGGCTCTGGCTGTGAGAAGCCATACGGATTTGAAACTACTTCTACAAATCCAACGGGAAGAAATACAGGATGTGTGCTGTCAGTGCTGTTTTGAGTCAGTATCCTGGAAACTGCACCTTCCTTCCATCCCATGAATGGATTCCAATTACCTTTACTGTCCTCAAGGTTATATGTTAAATGTATCCTGCCTGCTTTCTTGAAAGACAAGATACAAAAATACAAAAAGAGCGTGCTGCTAGAATAAGTTCATGCAGTCCATTTATTTTTTAACTGCTCAGCAATTAGTTCCCACAACTAAAGCTCTTGTCTTAAAAGCTTTTTACATATGGAGCCAACAAATACTGAATATACAACTAGAATTTTTCAGCTGTTTCTTGCCTGAAAACTTACCTGTTTCAATGAATGTAGTTAGCAACTGTGTTAATTGTTGATACAAAAAGGGAAAACCAGTAACAAACAATCAGCACTCAGATATTACCAAGGGTTCTGAGTAGAGAGATTCTCATGGAATTTCCCTGAAATTAACTTCTTAGCACAGATACAAACTTCTGGCTACTGAGTTCTCCTTGCTGAATCATAATTTAAATATCAAAGTCAAAAACTGGAATTTATTTGGAACCAATTTTGTACTACCAGGAATATTTACCAACACAGTGTATGATAACCATGTTATCATACACTTGGTTCTCTGACAACATGACAAACAAAAATGCAAGATGCAGATATAGACATAATTTAAAAGTTACTGAAAAAGAAATATTGTAAAGTAAGATGCATTCATTCATGACTTTACCTCAACTTTGCATTTAGAACTAGGCTCTAATTTTTCTGAACTAAACTAATGATTATTTTCTAATTCAAAGGAAGAGCACAGAGGTCTGTATATTCAATTATACCTAACTTTAGATGGCAGTGCTTGTGTAACTCACAGCACTGCACTGACCAGCAGCAGCCTGGATTCTCAGACTAATGTTTATTCAACCTTTGTTTTAAGAAATGAGCACTGAACAGAAAAAACCTTACAGTGAGAGTTCTTAGGAATGTTCTCTGCAACCAACAAAAATATACAGGTCAGGACACAAAGCAAGGGATTTCTAAGAACTGTATCAATCGTTCTGTACCCCAAGTTCACTTTAGCAGGTTTCAGTGCACTACTGGCAGGCTCTTGGGGTGCTGCACTTCACTCTCAGTGTGAAAACACTGCTTAAATCCTCTCCGTGACTGGGGAAAGAAATGCTTAAGGTGATACTCAGCAACCCTGACTCAGATTCCTGGAGCACCTGCTCGTCTCAGCTTTGGAATTCCTGAGATTCCTACAGAAATACTCCATCACACGCAGGGCTGGAGCTCCCAGCTCAGCTCTCAGAACCACCTGTGGCACAAAAAGTGGGAAATGCCTTCTCTTTGCAGGCAGCCCTCTGGACAGAGGCTGCCTCTGCTGCCAGCAGGTGACAGCAGCAGGGCTGCCTGACTGAGGGACAATCTCTGGCAGTGGATGGTAAGGCCAGGCTGCTGCACCTGACAAATGCAGAGTGCATGGAAGATGAGGGACCACAAGCACATTCTGTGAAAGTTCTTTTTAACACTTTTTGGTGAAATGGACATGGATCTTGGCAGCAAATCCTCCTTTCCTCTCCAGTCATGGGCCAGAGACTGTTCTGATAAGCAATGTGCTTCTCCTTATTCATGAAAAGTCTAAGAAGCAGCAGAAGTGGTTCTCTGACCATGCAGAAAAACACCTGCTCAATGAGACTGGATCACAGGCAGCTGGTTATAAACACTGACTAAAGAGCCACACAAATTCTTGTACTCCACAGAATAACACCTGCAAAGAAGAAAATACCCGTTTTTCTAGACAAAAATCGCCAATTTCCAAAACTACAACTTTTTACACCTTTTGGTTCCATCTGGCAAAAACTGCTTCTACTTATCACCAGTGACATTTCAATGTCAAAGTGCAAGAAAATGTGAAGTCATGATGAGGATTTGAGAGTTAGCAAGAGGTGAAGTAACTGAGGATGAACACAAAAAGTGCTGTGAAATAAAGGTAAGATTGATAAAGACAAGAATGACATTGAAAAGGAATGTAGCCACAGTGAAAACTGAAATGGAATGAGATGTTGAAAGGAAACAGGGATCCTTAAAGTGAACATAAAAGGTAGAAATAGTGACGGGTCCCAAATTCTATGCAAACATTTAGCTTTCCTCCACAAAAATGTGTAGTTTAAATTATTGAACTTGAGACTTAATTTTCTTACCTAACATCTACAAGGACACCTTACCATTTACAGCAAACACATACTGTTGTGAAGTTGCTCAACACCGTGTCTTGCTAAAACAATATTTAACCCTTTATTCTAAGAATCTGTTCAATATCCTCACTAACAAAACTATTATCTACAGAAATGTAATGGATCATTTTCATTCTTTTGAGAGGTAAGAAGTATTTTCCAGCCGTTGTCTTCAGCGTTAACAGGATCAGGCCCAATATCTTTCAAAGAATCCAACAATTTCTTATCGAACATGAACAAGTATTTCTATAAGAGTCATGCAGAAAAAATTGTTTGTAAAGAAGACTGTGACCTCTGCTTAAGATATTTGACTATTTTTTTGTCCAGAAAGAGGCCAAAAAATAACAATTATCTTTATATATAAATACTGTAAATTCACAGTATATATGAACTTACCTTTGCGTATTAAAACACAAAATAATCGTCTACAATTAAAATCAAACACCATGACATTGCAATAATAGGTTGATACAAAACACTGAATGCAGTGCAATGTGTAGCATTCATATTCTTCTGACATTTTCACAAGCAGCCTTTTTTGACACATGAGCCACACGATTTCACATGGGGATGCTGTCGTAGCATTTACAAGTTTAGTAAAGCTAAGGATTTACATAAACAATTAGAGGAGTTGGGGAAGCAGGATGGCATGTGTCCAGCACACTCCATGAGAGTGCCTGTTGGTTGTTTTGCTAAGGCAAAAGCTTAAGAACTAAGGGTTTGCAAAGCAGATTCAGCAGACAGGAGCCAGAAACGGTGGGTATTTTGGCGCATGCTTGGATCAGGTGACAGTACAGACTGAAAACTATGGCAGCTCACTGAAATGGTTACAGAAAGTAATGGCCCTGGATTCTAGGTGGAAGCAAAAAGGCAAGCATACAGAGCACTCAGTCACAAGCTTTTCTAGCAAATGTACCGAGTAGTTTGGACCAAGGGTTCTCTACAACTTCAAGCAGAAAGGTTTGCAGGAAATTCCACTGCTAATTATGTCCCCTCTGTGGGAAACCAAAGGCTTAACACTAAACTTACTTTATTAATGTTTCCAAATTGGCAGGATATTTATAACCAAGTGGAAGCAAAGCACACTGTTTCTATGGTTGAGGACTTGAGAAACAATACTGTCAAAAGTACAGTGTTCTATAAAAATCATGCCAACTCAAACCTCCTCCAACTGAAACTTTTCAAACTGATTTTATTCAGCAGTTTTGTAAGATACAAACAGCACTTCTGTACCTGGAATGTTCTTCGAGTTAGCTCTATCCCCCACCAAGTGACCCATCTCCTTTAGAACACAAGGCTGAACTGTACTATCCAGGGGGCAATATCCTGTATAAATCTTTCACCTAGACACTGTCACTTCCTCATTCATAGGAAGCAACACCTTTCCCAAGTTATTTGCTAAAGGGTCACTTGTACAGGTTCTTTCAAGATTTGGCCAGAAGCTGCATTTTGATAGTCCATATAGATTTTCTGACACTGGAGGCAGATTAAGGAGAATGGCCTCTTAGTGACACAGTTCATACCCAAGAGTTGCTGTATCCTTAAAGCTGAATCCTTGGACAACCTGAGGAAATTACTCCAAAGTACAGACTGATTCATTTCAACCAGTTTTACATTGCATCATTTAGTAACTATTTACATGTATAAGGCAATACTTTGACAGAAGGACAATCATCCAAGGAAAATTTTCATGATCTATAAATGACTCATTGTTCTGTTGTTTCAAAAATGGCAATGGAAGTCAATATTCTTTCAAATTCAATCTTTCAATCTTTCACTAGGCAAAGCCATTATCCACACGTTCAATATTCCCTTATTTTCATATCTTCTTAATTAAAACCCTACTAACAGCTTATACAAAAAGATGTGTGGTATTTTTGTGTAGGCTTGGCTGGTTGGGTTTTTTAACAGACACCTTTGTTAGGTTTATAAGCAACCTTCCCTGGACCTTGAAGTTTTATTTAATCCCTTCTGGTTATCCCATTAACACTGACATTATCAGTTTTCTAAAATATTTAACAACTAAATAACTGTACAGAAACATAAATCCTCTGGTCCGTAACGATTAACACAAAAATCAGGTAGCAAATAATTAAAGCTACACCAGATTAACCTAAAACTTTCAAAAAAGTTTCCAAGCCCCTCCATCC